ACTATTCAATCACTTCAGCACACTCTTCTGGGTCGTCTTCTTGTTGGTTACTGAGGTTGTTGAATTTTTAAACCTTCAAACTATTCAATCACTTCAGCACACTCTTCTGGGTCGTCTTCTTGTTGGTTACTGAGGTTGTTGAATTTTTAAACTTTCAAACTATTCGATCACTTCAGTACACTCTTCTGGGTCGTCTTCTTGTTGGTTACTGAGGTTGTTGAATTTTTAAACCTGGAGTTCATACAGGTAATAGGCCGGTGAGATTAGGATTTTTTTTCCTAGTTTACAGCAGCTTGCTTATTGTTTCATCCAGTATTTAGAAGTTTTTATAAATGTTAAGACCAAACTAATTCTCATTTCAAACGTTCTGTGTGTTTTATCAATAAGTTAAAGGCATAGTTAATATCATTTCCATGCTATTAACTACGCCGTTAACTCAATAATAGAACACACAAAACACTTCAAATGAGAATTAGTTGTGTCTTAATAAACGTAAAGGCTATCACACATTGGATAAAACAAGTCCTCCCCATCTGCTCCTCTTTGTAAACAATCGTTTCATTTCTTGTGTACTCGAATTATTGTAATTCTAAGTTACATATTTACCTTAATTGTGGCATCCTCACTGGAAGACACCAGAAGACTAAATACAGGGTGAAAAATTACTCTGGTCACTGGAGCTCGGTGTCCCGAAAGGGTGTACCTCTCAGGGGGACGAGGTATCCATTCCAAAGGGGATCTTTTTTCTCGGGTGGGAGCACCAGCTATGTATTCTTTTTCAGCTTCAGCAAGCTTTGCTTCCAAATCCATAACCTGTAAACAATGCATGCAGAGTGTAGTTGAGTTGAAAAGTATTAATCGAGTACCATGACTATCATACGATTTCTGCTGAAGCTGTGTGGTTCACTGGGATGGCATGCTTCATAGAAATCATAATTGTTAAATACTGGCTTAAATACAAGGAGAAAGAAGAATTTCACATATACGTTGAAAAGACTACTTCGGCCAGTAATTTCAGGAAAAACAAAAAATTAACTGTTGGATGCTGACCGATCATTTTCACAAATATCTAATACATGATTGAGCAAAATCTTTATTTCTGAACCAGCTTTTCATTTCGAAGTAGGTAAGGTTTTCCAAAAATTGTAAGCACAGTCTTTCTTTAAGTTAGATCATAGGACATCAAAAGACAATACAAACGAGTTTTACTGTGTATAATGTCTCGACTGAAGAAGAATGATCACCAGTTGATAACATGTACGATATTACGTCAAAGGTAAGAGCTGTTACCAACTGCTAGAAGAAGAAAAAAAAGTGTAAAACAACTACTTATAAACTAATAATATTATTCCTTTAATATGTCCTTATATATTGTTTTATCATTATTTAAACTATTTTAACAGTTTTGAAGCTATTAACACACGCTTTTTTAAGTGCAAAATATTATCAATACCTTCTTTTGTAATCTGATGACTGATGTCCATTTCTTTTCTAGAAGTCCAACATACTTCTTATCTATTTCTCCAAGCTAGAAGAACAGATTTAAACAGCGTATTTTACATAAATTAACAAAGCAACTTAAAGAAAACTGATACATTTTTTATGTAATAATCTTTGTTCTTCTAATAAATTATATCACAAAATAAGTTACTGTAGATTTCCCATTTACTACACATAAACATATAACATTTTACTTCAATAATTTAAGTAAACAAATCAGTGGATTAGAACTTGTTAAATCAATCTTACTTTATATTCTATTTTGTAATGCATGGTTGTCCTGATGTCAAGTAAAAGAAGTAAACAAATCAGTGGATTAGAACTTGTTAAATCAATCTTACTTTATATTCTATTTTGTAATGCATGGTTGTCCTGATGTCAAGTAAAAGAAGTAAACAAATCAGAGGATTAGAACTTGTTAAATCAATCTTACTTTATATTCTATTTTGTAATGCATGGTTGTCCTGATGTCAAGTAAAAGAAATGTCCTACAGGTTTAATATCAATCTTTAAATTTATAAAGTCACTACATTCAAACCAGACATATTAAGTTAGTTGAAAGGCTAAACTTACCACATTCAATTCTAATAAAAGAGTTAGCACACAGGATCACACACACACACACACAAAGGTGCAATAAATTTCTAAAAAAAAGGCCCAAACCTTGAGCACTTTTGAATAGTTGACTGTTCTTCTTCAGGAGAGTAAATTTAAATGTGGATAACAATACGTCCCGAGAGGTTTTTCTACAGAGTTATTTACAGGTACTAAGACTATAACTTAAAAAAAAAAACTTTTAAACAATGTCCATATGTCCCTAATCAGATGAGTATACGGTTTGCAGTGATCACCAGAATGAATAGACCAGAAACTTTGTTTATTTGGACAAAGCAACACAAACTTTTGAACTGATATACTAGAGGGAAGGTAACTTAGTCAACAGCATCCACTGCTAAACCTAGGGCTATTCAAATCGGATTGTGAAAACTTACAGTCACTTCTTATAATGCAATCATGGCTCTAAAGTGTGCAATGAGATTGTATGGAAACAGGACACAAAACCATGGACTCTGGAATTCACAACCCAGCATGTTAACCACTAGGACACACACACGGCCTATAGCAAAAACTATATTTACAGTAATTTCTACCCTAAACCATACTTATTTCTATTTTGCAAAGGAAATTAGGTACAAGAGAGAGATTACCATAATGTACTTTAGTAATTCATAATTCATTTTGTAGTTTCATGAAATACTTAGAATAGAACAACTTTACCATATCTGCTTCTCTTTTCAAACACTCTAAAGCTTCCATATATCCACTGGATGAAAGATAGTCTGCAACAGCTTTGTTTCTGTCAAAGTAAAAAAAAAGAAAACCTACGTTCTTGAAAGATATCTTAAATTATGTAGAAACGTTCATCTCTTGTATTTTATTCAAAAAAACAAACAAACCTAAAACTCAAGTTGATTCCCACTTTTTATTATTTTGTATTATTAACTATAACATGTCACAGATTTAATTTAAGCATCTTGGTTTATTGTTACCGTTAGCAACCAGGGTCTTGTCCACACAAAGTGTGTGTGAGGGGGTGGGGGTGGCACCCCCCCCCCCCAAAACGAAAATTTGAAATTTTAGTCTTTTAAGATTTTTAAAATATCCCTACAATGTGACTCCCACTAACACAGAAGTGTTTATTTTTTCTGCCCCTACCCCTCCCCAAACAAAAAAAAATCCTAGAAATGTTACTGCTTACAACTCAACTCTTATTATTCAATAAAATATAGAATTTTAATTACAGTTTTTAAGTTTACTTGCCTGATCAATACTAGTTTACCTCATAGGACACTTATGTACAGATTACTGACCCAGAAAGTGTGTTATAACAAATAATTATAAAAGGATCACTTATCTTAATCAAATCTCTTTAAACCTTTCAAGTTAAAATATGTACTGAATATATCATGATCAATTTGTCATTATATAAAAAAAATATATATAAGCTTTACAAGTCTTTCCCTGGCAGCAATTTGTATTTCAAGTATCTGGCCAAGAAATTAAAATATAAAATATCCATATATATTACTATTTAATTCTTAACGTCCAACTGAATATTAAAACTAAAGCTAAAATAGGAAGACTGGCAGAGAATTTAAAAAAATTGTGTTTCAAGTTTATTGGCACGGCTTTACGTGAATAACACACGTGCATCACCCAGTACGTGACTCAGAGTTTTAGACTAGGGAGAAAAATCATAGTGATAGTAGGCGTAAGAAAATCGATACAAACTGTCTAACCCAGCAACAACCGGTGGTTGGTCTAAAAATTCTGTATTCACTACACAGACACGTGCGAACGAACGTCACTCCTCACAGAAAAAACAAAACCTTGAAAATACTGAGATTATAACTCGTTGGTGCTAAGACAAAACCTTAAATACTAGTTAAAAAAAAAACAGTTGGTATATTTTTTTATATTACCAAAAATACACACTTTGAAATAGTTTTGATATACATATATGTGTCTCTTTTAATTGAATTACCAGCACTTTTCAGGTCGTTGAAAACTTATCAACTGATAGGGGTCGGTTTGTGTGCGAGATACTCTGACCCCTTATGTAGTAGTTAAATTCATAATCAACAGAAGCTGATACCATCTAACAGGAGACCCTGAGGTGAATAGTCCACTGTAATTATTGGATCTTCGGTGACATCCCATCTTGTCTACTCTCATTGGCATTTAGATACAAAAAAAAATCACTTTAGCACAGTTTTAGCAACAAAGCATTTTTTGTATTTATGCTATTTACAATACGATGAAATAGACTTTTGAAACATTCACACATATTTACGTTCATACACATATACGCAACAAATATATCACCTATAAAAAAAACCTAGCTTGTTCTCAAGAAATTATAATACTGCTTTAAAGTTTCTTCATTTACAGTAAAGTGGCAGACAAAGTTTACAGGTTTGGTTTGAATTTCGCGCAAAGCTACACGAGGGCTATCTGCGCTAGCCGTCCCTAATTTAGCAGTGTAAGACTAGAGGGAAGGCAGCTAGTCATCACCGCCCACCGCCAACTCTTGGAGTACTCTTTTACCAACGAATAGTGGGATTGACCGTCACATTATAACGCCCCCCCACAGCTGAAAGGGTGAGCATGTTTGGTGTGATGGGGATTCGAACCCGCGGCCCTCAGATTGCGGATAAACCGGATCCTCATTCTCACTTACTCCAAATCTGTAAGATCACCAGTAACGGAAACTTTAGCTTCAAACAGAAGCTTACTGATTTAGACATGTTTATTCAGTGAAGACAGTGCCATAATCGATTTGGCAAAACACTGTAGTAAGCATGTGAAATTTTATGGCTTTTTACCTGATTAAAAACTGAGTAATTGCGTATTTCAACAAACTATTTAAAGATACGTTGATGATTTCATTTTTACTTTTTTAGTAAGAATGAATAGTACCACTTACCGAAATATCCAAACCATCAACACCTAGTAAAATAAAAAGTACTTCGAAATTAAAATGAAGATAAATCACTCTAGCTGTACAAGTTAACCGTCTGATAAATCACCCTAACAGTACATGTTAACCGTCTGATACATCACTCTAGCTGTACAAGTTAACCGTCTGATAAATCACCCTAACAGTACATGTTAACCGTCTGATACATCACTCTAGCTGTACAAGTTAACCGTCTGATAAATCACCCTAACAGTACATGTTAACCGTCTGATACATCACTCTAGCTGTACAAGTTAACCGTCTGATAAATCACCCTAACAGTACATGTTAACCGTCTGATACATC